TAGGATGTATCTTTGTTTCAATATACTTTATGAATGATTGAGGATAACATCTTTGCATTATGTTATAATAGACGAACATAAAACTAAGCAAACAAAGGGATATAGATCTATTCCTTCCTTCTCTAGTACCGAAGCCTACGCTTGCTTACCTTAGACCAAGGGGCTAAGAAAGAGGTTTTAGTGAAAACTCCGCTCGCTTACACTTCTTGCTTCCCTCTCCGTTGCGGTGTGATGATATGCAAGAGGGCAGGAGGAGTTCTGATGGGAAAGAGTTGTATACATTGCATTGAGCCCCAATAGAGGAGATTTCGGTCTGGTCAAGTAGATGAAGAATGTGGAGGTGAGTGAGAAAAGTCCCCTCTCAACTGGGTTAGGCGAGGGTCTGTCGAATGGGCTGGTTGTCGGTCCGAAAGGAAATTGATCGTCGCTGTCGATAGCTGATACGGTGCAGCTCAACACCACTTCCTCAGCTAGAGTCCAGGATCCTGGGAGTGGGAAGGCTAATAGAATTCCTACCTGTTAAATGGACCAGACGCAGACCTCTCGAAGGGATTGGATTCCCAATGGCTGTGGGTCTGCTGGGCAAAGCTTCATCTTCATCTGTGGCTGAATTCAATGCCAATCCCCCAGCAGGAGACAGGGCAGCTGAAATCGTGATAGGATCCATTCCTGTTCCTACACGATGTGAAGAAGCCAGAATATCAGAAGTCCGGAAGCAGTGAACATGATTCCAGGCCCTCTGCTACTGGTAAGACCATCCCGGTTGATCAATCTCCTGTTCAGTCTCCTACAAAATAGATCAAATGCAAGAAAAATCCTTTAAGTTCTCTCCCCCGGCTCCTGGTTTATAGATTTATAGAAGAGTTTTTTACATTGATGAGAAACTCTATGATGAAAGCATAGACTGGTGGAAAGATAGCTTGGTTGTTTTTTTTGCAGGTAGAAGGCCCTCGGTGGAATTCATTAGAGACAGGTTCAAACCGACGATGGAACCTAACGGGATCATATTCAATCACTGCTATATGGAAAATTCCTGTGTGATAATAAGGTTCGATCTTGAAGAGGACCTGGTGAGAGTCTGGGTAAATGGTCACATTTCTTTCGGAAGAACATGCATGATTCTAACAAAATGGCAGCCGATGATGGATTTATAGATGAGTCTCCAGCGATGATTGTGCCTGTATGGATCGAGCTGCCGAAACTCCCAGCAGAATTCTTGAAGGAATAAAGAATTTTCACAATTGCTAGCGCTGCGGGCTCTGATGTTTTTTAAAACCACGAAGCTGAAAGCCATAAATAAAGTATGCAAGACTTTGTATTGAGCTCGACTTGAGAAAGGACATGATAAGAGAAGTATGCAATACCAAGCGAGGGGTGAAATGGAAAAAAAAACTGTATTAAAATACCCGGATTTTATGCAAGAGCTGCGGCTCCATGGATAACCCGCCTATGGATTGTCCCTCAAAGGTTAAAAAGAACAAAGGATTCCAAAACTGTTGAGCCTGAGATGGAACTAATTCAGACGGATTCCCCTGTTCCTAAGGAGGATCGACAAAACCAAACTGGCCTTGATATGGTGGAGGATACACAGCAGAACCATATCTGCAACCTGCTTTCACCTGCTGTTTAAGACCGAAAAAAGTGTTTTCCGAATAAGAGGACTAGTGATTGATGCCCCACCTTCCCGGGGTGGATCTGAGGAGGGAGGGATGTATGGCAAATCACGCAAATTTTGGTACTGGCCAACCGAAACATAAGGAATGGATATCGGGTGGACCAGAGGGAATATAAAGATAATAGAGGAATGATTGCAATATGCCCATTTCTCATCTGCTTCTCTTTCCCCTGCTGTGGTTCCCCGATCCATATCTTCGGGGGAAATGGACAATTCCCCTCTGACGGGGAAGGGCAGTCCAGACTGCATGAAGGAACTAGCACGGCTCCCAGCCCGGGGGTTCAATCCCTCTCCGGTGTTCGAGTACCCCCCAAAAAAAGTGCACTTCTGTAATCTTTTATTACACGCCCACCCATGAAAGAATCATCTTGTAATGAAACCGAGGAAGTGGGGGAAGACAGGCAGGGATATGTGTTATTGAGTGAGGAAGCTTACTCCTAGCTCTTCTTCGATCTCTAGAGAAGTTCTTGTAGCCGAGGCAGCATCTATAGCTACACTGATTCGAGAGAGAAATGGCCTTATCCGGGAAGAAGCTTTTCTCCCCCCGATTTCGATTTACTTCCATCCTATAACCAGCGCATGCTTTCAATCGATATTGAGGCAGGTGAGTCATGATAATGCCATTTCAGGAGAGGTTTATCAGGCTCAGATTTATAAACCAAATAGAGGAACTTGAAGAGGAAAGAATAATTGCTACACTTTGGGGATGCATAGAGAGGAGAGCAAAGAGGAGCTAGAAATGAAAACGAAGGAAACAAATACAACGATGTAATCCTCAAATATAACTGGGCGAACCTAAGAAGAATAGAGCAGAAGGGTGGCGACGCTTTACTAACACATGAAAAGGAGCTACTCACAGGACTATCAAGAACAGAGAACAACCAAAAACGAGAAACTATCGAAAGAAATTTCGTAGGTAATATGAAACGGAAGCGCCAACTCCGCCACCACCTCTATATAAACCAGGACTATGGACGGTGGCGGGAAACAAAACAAATAAAGAAAAAGAACAGAAGAAAGAAAGACAGGTCAGTCAGAAGTCAGGGGGAGCGCGGGGACTCTACATCCCCTCAAGAAAGGCAGTACCCTCTGTCAGTACTGAACAATCCTTGACATAACATAGGCAGAAAGCGGATACAAACGCTTTACAAAAGAGAACGAATCAAAATTCTTTCTTCCAATTTCTTTTTTCGGTATGCCGCTCCGATAGCAAGGAGCGAGAAAATAAAATAAAAAATTTGCTATGTTTCCGTTCAATGAACTTGCAAAATACATAAAAAATAGAGATCAAGTGAAAGATACGAGTGTTACGACTGTCCCCAAATACAGAAGAAAAGAAGAAAGTATGCTCCTACAACTTTCAAATAAAATCTATACAACGGAAGCGAGAAAGGCCACAGCACAGGGAAAGACTTAATGAGCAATTTCTTATATGGCGGTGAAGAAATTCAAATTTCAAAGATTCTGCTCGTGAGCGTAATGGTATAAGCCTGCCTGACTGTGTTATAACGTAATCAAAAAAGGGCTCTCCCGAAATGAAAGAAAAAAGAAATTGTTCGGATCCTCCCACACGTTCCATCTTGTTTTCACATTACGCATTTTCCTTCTTATCATATTGATTCTATTTTGAATTGGATTCTTTTTCCAGCTGTAGCCGTATGGACTCGTTTTTTTTTTTTTCAAATTCTATATCTATATGGAAGCTCCATCAGGGCTCAATTTTGAGTTGGTCAGCCCATTCCAGATGGGAGTGATGTGAATTTTGATTGGACTCTGGCGCCACCGATGGTGGATGATCGGCCGGCCCCACCATTAGTAGGAAGCCAGCAAGCGCCTGTAGTTGCTGATGTCTTTCCGGAAAGGGGGGAACTCGATAGCATCGTACAGCGAGCCTCGATCCCCCATCCGCGAGGGGAATTGGAGCAGCAGGATGCATTAAAGGATCGGGCCATCGCTCACCTTTCCCACAAAGAAATAAAATCATGCAATCCCTTTACCCCCAGGATCCATGGAAAAAGTCGAGGTCTATCCGAGAGCGGATCTTTGTAGAAAGGCAGGCTGTCACGATTGAATGATAGAGTAGAGTGGGTCGCTTACTTAGCCGCAGCGGGCCGTGGCCAATTGGGCAAGCACTCAGATAGTTATCCGATCATCCAAGTATGGGAATAGGACCCCAAGCCCTTCTCTATCAATTCCAACCTTTCGCCCGGTCGCTAACCTATCTTTTTGAGTCCCTTTGTTCGCCCTTCTTTCCTGCCAGTAGTGTAGGCGGAGGACTTTATTTACGCTATTTCGTCAAATTATAAGTTTGCAGGCAAGGACAAAAAGATGTTCTTTCCTACTTACTATAGGTAGCTGCGTCTCCTAGAAGATCTTGGCATCAAAGATCCTTTTCCCGAAGCAAAAAAAAAGACCCCACCGTGGTGGAGCAGAAGGTGAGAGTACTGCCGGCCTATTTTCCTACGTGTGATCGGTCCGGATCAATCTTCCTTACCAACCCCGGTTCAACCTAGCACGACCAGTACAAATGCCCTAGTTCGACTCAGGTCTCGCTATCGCTTTATGGTGGCACCATGCAAAGGTTAGAATGAGAGTGCCCCTTGCTCCTTAGCCCTTTACCGGACTCCCCTACGTACCAGCAGACTGAAGTTATCCAGGCGGGCCTTCTTCGCTCCCCTTTTAACAAAGCCATCGACATTCTTTTGGTCAACGGCCCCCATTTCTTCCCAATGATCTTCCCTTTCTGTTGGGCGCTTACATCAATCAGTCGATACTAAGCCAAGAGCTTTTCAAGGAGTGCATTCTGGGAATCAAGTTGCTTCAGTCAGACCAATGACCGCCGCCTATCCATTTTAGGAAAAACCTGGTTCTAAACCAGCCCCTTTACTAGACTATATCAAAACTTTACTTGCTGCCGCTACTTCTTCTTGATTGCTCCATTCTAGAGAAAGTGCTGCCTTTCGGGTATACTTTAAGGAATGTGGTTCTTGCTCATAGCCTCAAAGACCCATGAGGGAGCCTCCTTTTACATTTACAATGGGATTCAGACAAGGAAGGCTGTGAAGTATGCAGACGGATTCTATTTTGTTACGATAATGAGATACTACGGAAATGCAGATAGCTTTAACTCCTACGAAGAAGGTAAGATGACTATAGACAAGAAAGATAGAATTGAACCAATGCCCCCTTGGAAGGAATGCCGCTTTCAACCTCCTTCTATCGACATCGACGGCTCCGAGGAAAAGAGCATCTTATGGCCATGACCAGCTAAAGATCACTGCCATCTCACGAATTGGATTTGAACCAATATCAAGCTACTTTCCTTTTAGTAGATCGTGAGTGGGTCTGTCGTCCTCCTCATTATAGTCCTCCTAGAATCAATAGCATTTCGTCGGAATACATCCTGTCTTTTCACCTTAGTAGTCCTATGCATAGTCAGTACTATAGCCCCAATCATGGCTACTAATAAAATAAGACTAGGAACCAAAAACCAGACGGAATAGTAGGTATAAAGTAAATTGCCCAATGTTTCCAAATTAGTCCAACTTCGTACCTTTTCGGCATAAACCGTATATCTCAGAGAGGTCGTATTTCTTTGGGTTGGTAGTAATGGAATGCTTTCATTATCTAAAATGAAGAACATTTCCCACCAAAAGATCAGTCCAATAATACCACTCACTGGTAAATAGCGCAATACTTCTTCGTGAATCTCCGCTATTTGAATATTGAACATCATAACAACGAATAGGAATGAAACGGCTATAGCTCCTATATAAACTACTGGGAAGATCATAGCGAAAAAGTCGAGACCTAACAAAAGAAGTAAACCTGAAGTGTTGCGAAAGACTGGGATGGGAAACAAAACGGAATGTACCGGATTTTTAGCACGTACAACCATCAAACCAGAGACCAAAGCAGGGCTCGACAAAACAGAAAGTATCATAGTACGTCGTCCTTCCCTGAAATGGAACTTTCATGCTGGAGCAAGAACTAGCATGAAAGTCGATCTATTACGACCAGCGCGGTTGTTCGTATTTCATTTTCTTCTTTCAAGCCTTAGAAAGCACTCACTGAGTTACTTACGGAATCTCAAATCTCTCTCGACGCCGAGAATTTTTTATGTGTCTAGGTTGATTAGAGGTTCGGCTTCCTTCTCCCCCACCTTTTAGCGTTCTGGGCCCCTGAAAAAATAAAGAAAGCTGAAATCAAAAAGAAAGAAGAGAAATTGGGCCATGTTTCCCGAGAGAGGCCGCCTTCTCTCAGGCCAGCAGTCTTCTACTTCTAGTCGACTGCTTTATGACGGGCTTCCCTGTTTTGTTTCCTGGGCTCTGCTCGCTTCGTCTACGCTCCGACCCTAATAATTGAAAAACGATATTTCCTTGCCCTGCATTAAGATTGAAAACTTTTCGTCAAAAAAAAGGCAATCAATCAGAATCAAGAAAAAAAAAATGGAAATAGTGATTCAAGATCTAGATGGATCCCTATCTTTATCTCTATCCACGAAGATACCTATCTATATGGAGAGAGATCTATCTATGAATCGATCTAGACTATCCTCTATCCGGATAGATATGTCCTTATGAGCGACTACGCTGATCTTTATATGTTTTGGCCACGTCCGTTTCCGCTCCGAAGAAGAAGGTTTGGATCTTTCAATCTTATGTCGTGAGGGATGTGACCTATGTTAGGTCCATAAGATACCACAGCTTTTGGTGTTCTATGATTCACCTCCGAATAATGAGTAGGTAGTTCGATTCTTTTTATTTTTCTCTTCATAGTAAACTGATGGGGGGATGCGGAGCAATAGGTCGAATTACTATATAAAGAAGAGTTGTAAACTATAGGACTTCTTGTTCGAGTAGGAATATTTCGGTTTTTCTCGTTCCTTTTCTTCGATAAGAATAGGGATTTGAAATGATACAAATTCCTCTTCATTCTGTTGTGCTCATCGAAATAACTGCCTAAGCATACTTTTTTGGATCCAAACTTCTTTGTGTCTTCTTCTTGCATAGAAGAACGCAACTGTTGCAAAAACTGGGATTTTAGTAGTAGGCGGCATCCCTTCTTAGTTTTGAGTTTTCGGAACCATTCTGTTTTGGTTCTTCTCCACATTCTTACCGGGCGATCCAGGAATTTGCCTATGATTTTTTCAACTGATATTTCGATATAGAAAGATCTCCTTATTTCTTCACCGCGGGTTCTCGCATCATTTTCTTGAAAAGATATTATATCACCGTGGGACACTTTAAAATGAGTAATGTTTACCATTCTATTATTCACACAAACCCTTCGATGACTTATCGGCTGCCTTGCTTGAGGAATAGTTTCACGAAAATGGAGACGAACCGGAATAACGTCCGATCTTGTTTCTGGATTGAGTAGAAAAGGGATATATGATCGTTTTGTTCTTCTGTGCATCTCTGTGATGGGTAAATCTCCATGAAAAAGGGACAACTTTCGTGTAGTTTGTGATTGGATGTAACTGTTAAGATTTTCTCTCGAATAAATCTTTCTCTTAATAGATCTCTTCTTGTTTCTCAATCTTTGGAGAATGCGGCGTTGTATTATTGTAAGTTCTCTGTTCCAAACATTTCCTGAAAGTAGACGACAAGTTTTAAATCTTAATGCAGGCAAGGCATATCTCGTTGAATCAGTCTTTTTCGCCACATCGCGTATAACGGGAATCGAACCCCCTCTGCTGCTGTCGGGCGGATGGAGAATGCAATACTTCGACCCAGAAACTTGTTAGGAGTAGGTTTTAGCTTGCGCCTTTCTTCTTATTAGTAAGATAGGTTTGGAACCATAATAAGGTAAGCTTCCAAAGCTCCTTTCTTCAGCTGGTGCGCAGGAGCGCACTTTCGTTTTCCCCTTACTAGTAAAGGGGGTTTTATGAATAGAGATCTCCCGCCAGCAGTCTTCTCTTCCTATCACTTCACTTCGTTCGAGAAATCTGATCTCACCGGGCCGGGCGAAGGGGAAAGAAGGTATGGGTGGTCCGGGAACAACAACGGGAGAGGGCTCGTAGCCCCCCTCTCTCTCTCTTCCCCACGCCTATTTGTTTCCCCAGCCTCGGAGAGATGCAGAACTCTTTTTTTTTTTTTAATGAATAGATAGAGCCATGATACATTCCGGAATATTGTAAAGGTAAATAGACTCTTTTCGTCCCCTTTTCGATGTCTGCCTGAGGACCTCTGTGAATGTTTTGGAATGGGGCTGCTCGCCTTTTGTAACAAGTAGACCCACGATACGGACTAATAGATGTTCCTACTCTTACCCGTAAGTAAGATCTATTCATAGTTGGTCAGTCCCCCACGGCACGTCTTCTCGCTTTTCATGAATGTATCTCCCCCTCTGCTTATGTGAGTTTGACCCGCCTTTGACTCTGCTTGCTTCTGACTCCCTATGAGCTGTTTTACGACCTGACTTTTCGGAGGGTCGGCGGGACATGGGAGCCTCAGCTCATGCATCGGTTTACCGAAATCACCTCCGCTCTCCCACTTCTTTCTATTCAAAAGGCGAGCAGCCCTTAAACAATTAAACAAAAAGGCCCTAAGAGGGCTCTTCTTTATATATTACATAAGCCCTAAAGTAGGTAGCCCCGAAAGCTGAACTCAGCAACTTGTTAGGAGTGGGGTTTGGCTTGCCCCTTTCTATCTTATTAGTCAAGCGCTAACACCCTATCTATAGACTATAGAGGCCTTTTCAATAAGGTGAGCACCCCTATCACGTAAGGCTTGTACCAGCTCTCGGAAAAAGAAGTCGAGTGTGCCTAGAAGTCACCAGCCCCTGACCCGTAACTGAAACTACTGCTTGCTCCGCCCTTACCGCTACAGCAAATACAGCCTTTACACCTACTCGCTTACCGAAAGCAAGGGAAGATTTCTTTATCCACTTGAACGGTGCGAGCGTAGTCAGACGGAGCGAGCCAGGTCTTACAGAACCACGGGTTGAATGAATGCTGCTCGCCACTTTGGAAAGCCAGAATAAGAGGTTTCTGAGTATTGGCTTAGGAGTGTGAGCAGGAACAAAAGCAAGCTGGAATTGGTAGTCGCTGGGGATATAATATAGGCATCGGCACCGAAAGGAACAAGCAAGAGGAAGAGGCAGGAATGGATAGTTCTTTAGAAAAGGTACACAAGCAATCGCCACAGGAACCGGTATATATGAGTAATCGTAATGCACGCAATCAAAGGAACCGTAAACTGGATCTCCTTCGCTTCGTCCCCTCCACCGAAACAGCTTTCAATCGGGAAAGGAAGCCACCCGGCCCGCCCGCCATCCATAATAGGAAATTCAATCAATAGAAATCGTATTCGTGAATAAATCCCCTTTGTTTGAATCCCATGGTATGGACTTTTTTCAGTAGCAGGACTCTCTTCTGTCTGTTTGAACTCTTGAGCAGGAGCTTCCGCAGGAGAACGGAATAGGCATCCATTAGCTCTGTCCCTTCGCACGACATCTATGAAAGCAGCAGTGGGCGAACCGGTGGTGAACAGGAAGAGGGAGGACCACTCGATCGCTAGGAAGAAGCAAGCCTATTCCCCGCAGATGTCATTGCTCACTAGCTCCTTTCGTCCCTTCCAACGCACCATCAACAAAAAGAAAGAGGAATTCTTGACTACTAAAGCCATGGTAGCGAGCCATAAGCGAGCCTTGTCCTAGTATTAGGAGCGATGGAGCTTGCTCAGTGAAAGGAATACGTAGCGAACGAGTCACGGGAATAATAGAAAAGCACTCTTCGGGGCTCACTATCGCCTCTATTACATAACCTTGGCAGGCTAGACTTATTTCAGACCTTTTGATGTGCCTCTTTCGGTTGCTTTCTAGCTTTACCGAATGAAGTTAGTCACCTTCCTATTCTGTTTCCGCTTTCAGACAAGTAGCTAAGTCGTCTTAATCCAGCGACGAAAACTCCTGCGCTAGGAGAAGCGCTCAATCCCGTCGCTTCGTCGCTCAGTCCGTTGCTTCTTCCCTCCTCTTCTTCCTTTCCGGCTCTTTATACCAATGTGATTGAATTCCAGGTGCATATTTCAATTACGTCTTCCCTGATTCTGGTTCAGATCCAGAGAGAGATCGGTTCCGGTATCAGTAGCTCAAACGAGCATTCAAGGGGAAATGGCTTGTTTGGTGGTTCGAATCCACCTCGGGGTATGGCATAAGTTCCAGGAAAGGTGGAGAAAGGATACTTTGCCAATGATTAAGGAAGGTCGTCCGCTATGTCTTGCCGATTCTCCGAAGACCATACCTTAACTAGTGCCAAAATGCGTCTTGAGTTTTTCTGTTATAATCGAGATTAGATTAGGTTTATTAGTGTTTTTGTTAGGTCAAGGGGCGGTTGCTTTCTCTTGCCTTCCTAGTTTTTTTTCTGGTAGATGACAGGCGAGGCCCGCTCTTAGTTGTTGTGTTTTTATCATTCATTCATATAGTGGAGGAAGTGATAACTGAATTGGCTCGCCCTAAACGAATGAATAGTTGGAGCTCATAAGCACCTCTCCCTTACCGACAGCGAGGAGTTCTCCTACGCTAATTGGCTCTACTAAAGCAGGGAAGAACTAAGGCATTGAAATCCCCTAGTGCTTCCATCAAGCGAAGGACTAGACTCACTATAAAGGAGAACACCTAAAGGAACTATTCCTGTTTCAGTCAAATTCAATGCATTCTTTCATTGCCTGTGTATCAAGCTTCAAATCGCCACTTTTCACTTTAATGTATGCTGGGGTGCATAACATGCAGATTTCTGTCCAGAACAATGGCCTTAAATCGTTGAATTGAGAAGCAGCTTAGCGTTCAACCGTTACCTCTGACTCGACCTCTTCACCTTCCACCGTCTCTGCGGTTAATTACAGGTGTACGGCATTTGCTGTTGATAATGCTTTTCTTTTCTCGCTACTTGTAAACAAAACCATCAATGTCTTAAGTTTAATTTGCTCTTTCTCATGCTTATATCGATAGTTTTCCTTCAATGACCGATGAGACGAGATAGAATCAGGAAATAGGAATAGAATCGGACAAAGAGCTGTTAGCAGGGCCACGAGTAGGCTGCACATGAACTAGATGAATTAGAAGAAGATATACCCACAGACAGAACAGAATCGCTTGGGATTTCTCAGGGCAGGGTTCTTGCTTTAATAAGTGACATCGAAATGCGCCATTTGATTCTTTCCTTGGGAAAATTGTCCTAAATGCCGATTTCCTTTCTAAAGGTGCAATAGAAGCTTGAGCAAAGGGCTCGTCGAAGGACCGGCATTCAAACTTCCAAGGCGGATATGCACCTCTATGCCTGGCTTCCTTCCTCCGCAGAAGACTTGCTACCGTGGCCTGGGATAAAAGCCATTTTCTTATCTTCTTTCCTCGGTATTTACCGCTGCGCCCTGTGCTATCAAGAAGAAGGAATTTCGGGACGGGAAGGACCTGGAATGTCGGAATGCCTAAGAATAGAAGTAGCGATATGCCGATTTGCTGCTGTTAAAAAGCTAGGCACCTCTTTACTCTTATTGCCAATCTCTCTTAGCTCCCGAACAGCCTATTCGATTTCTGTGCTTAAGCTTGCTCTCACTTATTCTTGGCTTGGATCTAGATAATAGATGTGGCAACAAGTCAAAGAGCTGAGTCGTCGAAAACACTAGCAGCTCCTTCCCCAACTTTTGCAAATGAACCCCGTTCAAGCGCAACAGAAATGATCACCGTTTACGCCGCAACATGTCCGATTGCGAGAGAAAAGAGATTAGACAAGAGCCCGGCTATGCGAAATAGACAAAAAGGAAGTTGGGCCAGTAATCCCCTAACCGGGTATGAACTCCTCCCTTCTACGCTCCGTGGATCCTTTGTTACCTAATTCCCTGAAAGACGGAATTGCTCTTAGTCTTTACCCAAGAGATGTACCTTCGCACTATCAAAAGGAAATTGTCTCTTTGCTTAAGCACGAGATCCGATAGTTGTGATTCCACTTTCATGTCTTGGATTGAGCTTTCTCACTCTTTCTATGCCTCTTCCTTGGAGGACCTTCCCACAACACACACGCGGCGCTAAGGTTCCCGTGGCAACTCAAGCTAGGATTCGAAGCCAGGATGAGCGGATCTACCGTGCCAGGTCCTTTCCTATTCTTATACTAATAGTTGTAAATTCCTTGCGCTTAGAACTCGAACTAGAACGTGAGGCATAGTAATGGCGCATGTGTGATATTCTATTGATCCAGTTTAGGCAGCTTCAGGAAAGCAGGAATGGACAAAATGTCTTCTGCTGCTATCTTATCTGCTAAAATGGAAAAAATCTTCTTTTCTTCTCTATGTCACTAATCAGAGTCGGAGAGACCCACGAGACTTTCTTTTCTCCCGGCAGGCTCTAGCGCAAGAGCAATGCGAACAGCTGATTCTCAAGCAGGGGATTCGTCGAAAACAACCTATCTGTCCACTTGCTTTCAGCTCTCAACCTATTCTTGCGCAAACCAAGCCTGAATTTAGAAGTGAAATAAACCTCGTAGCTGGGACTTTGCCGGGTATTTGACTTTTTAGCATTTTCTGGAGGCTCCAAAGAAAGTCACTTCAGAGTATACAAGGAAGAATCTTTCAACGGCTACTCAGTTGGCTATCCTTTTAAGGATCGGCCTACCCAACCACTATTGGATAGATAGAACTAGAAATCAATGTCGGAGAATGCCGGGTTATTGAATAAGACTGTTTATTACAAATCAAGTGCAATCAATAACCAATGTTAGGAATAACAGGATATTTTCGTATTCGTAGCATGCGGGGAATCGAAAATAGTATGTTTTTCCTGGGATAACTTTCATCTGTCAATAGAGTGAGATAGCGATTGATTCATTGTCAGCTATGGCTATTAAGGATAAGGATCTAATTCCTCGCCGGAGAGAGAGAAGAGCGGTTTGCGCTTCGCGCCCCAACCCCCTTAACTAATGGATGCTTAAATACCTGCAACTGAATCTGTAAGCGGCGCAGGGCAGGATGGACGAGAAAAGCGGCGAGAAGAAGACAAAGAGAAGGAGGAAGGGAGACCTCTTTCTATTGCCTTCCCTTTCTACTTCTAGACTGGTTCGTCGGCGGGACAGCAAGCCAAGATCCGATTCGTCAATCGACGAATCCATGCCGCGTAACCTGGCAAAGGGGAAAGAGACGATGGCAACGCACCTCATACAAGAGGGATAAAAACCTTGTACGTACGCCGCCCACGCGAAGAAGTTTTTCTCTAATTCCAAAAAGTCAAGCCACCATTCTTCAGTGATGAGCTCTAGCGAACAAATCTTATGTGTTTTTCCCAGAGAGAAATGTATTTCCACTAGAACAAGTTCGCTGCGAGCCGAACAAACAAAAAAATGACTCAACCGGGCCGAGGCACTATTCACCAAGTGGAACTATATACTATCTTTACTAAGCCAATCGCCCCTTCTCCTATACTTGGCTGCTTCTCGCTCACCAAAGCGTACTTGGTTTCCCGGGACGAGCGGCGCCTTCTTTATTCCTTCTAATTGGTAAGAAAGCGGTTTTTCCCTCAATTGGAAAGTAGGTTCCGTGAGTCCAAGCCTAAACAAGGCAAGCCCAAAAGATGATTTTCCTCTTTCAACCATCGATGTTCTGGTGGACAACACCGCTGGACATGGGATGCTGTCCTTTATGGATGCTTTCTATTGATATAACCATATCAAGATGGCCGAGGAAGACCGATCTATTTCATTAAAGGAAGAAGGGGATTCGCAAGCAGGAAAAGATCAATAAACAGAAGGCCAAGGAGCAAAAGCCACTCATCAATTGCTTGTGAAATGCGGATGAGCACCGGCAGGTTATACACTTTACCGAAGCGGTAAATTAAAAATGAGATAAGAGATGTTAGCATTAGCGGAAGATTGATCCTATAGCCCACTATCAAGCGGTTGAGGATCTACCACTCAAGAGATGATATGCTTACCCGTGAAGACGAAAGTTTACCGTGTTGGCAAATCCGGTCTCAAAAGCCGCCCAATTATCGTATTTTCAGGCAGCCACTAGTTTTCCCCTCGTTTTTACTTAAGAAAGATGGCGCCTCTAAAAGGATGTCTTCAATTTAATCAGTAGCCAAGGCCAAGACCAGAAGAGAGAGTCCTACCATCACGAGGGATTCGAGATAAAGAGATGGCAAGCCGGAAGGACGACGGGAGATGATCGTTCGGACAGGAGATGTGGACGAGTTTTAGCCTAGCTCCAAGAAGAAGGTACCGGGACCTCATTGAGCACAAGATTTGAGCGGTTAATGGAGAGCACCAAACTCATGCGTTGGCTTTGGGGCGAGGATCAAGGAGGCCGGATTTACCTTTATCTTTATGAACCTCAGCGTGAAGTGGTCGGGTTCACTCCTCCTATTGCCTTTACCCAGCGGCAAGACGCTTAGTTTTGTCGGAAAGGGAATGCTTCTTCCCCTCTACTGTGCGGGTGCTAAGACTAGGCGAAGAATTAAATGAATCAGTTCGCTTGACCAACCCGAGCCTCTAGTTCTTCTGATTTTGCTAACATCCTTCGATGACAGGCCGACCGAAGGAAAACGCACCGGGATCCTACAATTCCCTATGAAGCTCCCTGACAAGCCCTTCAATCCATCTTCATCTTGGCTGGCAGCCTAGATAGATTGAGCCCTGGGACTGATCTTCCCGTTGGCTTTGCTACAGCAGTACTCACAGTGTAAGGTCAGCGGGTGGCATAGCGAAATTCCTCACCGAGATGACTGGACAACCTCTCGACCGGATCGTCCCAGCAGAGCGATTAAAAGCGTCTTTGGAGCGAATTCCTTTGAAGTAGTTAGTGCTCTAATTGAGCGAGCCGTGGATCATAAATGATGAGCGTAGCTTAATTTAGCTGATCTCACACCGAACTATAAATAAATATGTGAGTGGCTCTTTATAGAGACTTAGCCCAATGGCTACCACCGGAAGTGCGCTAAGTTAGTCACAGGGAAATCTCCAAGTTCTTTCTAACCTCCGACTCTATAAACTTGGATGGCTTGCTTGCTTGTTTAGCTTGCCCCCTCTTTGAATGTGTACAGTTCGAGCAAGCAAATGGCTAGCAAGGCCGAGGAACCACAATGAAGGGGACGACAGAAGTTCCACAAGAATATGACCAGAGATATATGTTCTTCTTCGTGCATGCAGGTCTGGTTCCTGAGAAAACAGATATCTATTAGAGAGTTTCGCCGTACAATATATAACCCGGGACTGGCTGAAATTAATGAATTACCACGGTTGCCGCCGGCTAATAGGGCGAGCAGCGTAATGGAGTCCCCGGGACGGACGACGTGAGTGAGAGCCCAGACCATAGCGGCAAGGGTTACGGAAGAGGCCAAACCAACCCAGGTGCATCACAAGGAGATACGGTTGGAGCAGCAGATGCAGATCCTATAGAAAGAAAGACAAAGCCCGAGGCAGATCCAGACGCGTACCCAGGCGGCGCAGGCGTTATCGGGAATTGAGACAACCCGAAGAGGGACCGTTCGCCAGAATCTTATTACGTATATCAACAAAGAGATGCGTGCAAAGCTTTGCTCAGGCGTCCCGTCTCTCGGTTTCGTGTTGGACAGCACGAATACGCTGGATCAGGCACCCTAGCCGATCAAAAGTCTGATTTGATGAAATCCTTCGAAGACAGACTATTCAGCCCGAACAACAACAACAAACTGCGCAGAGAGCTGGGAGAAATGCGGGGGTCCAGGTAAGACGACCCAAGGAGATAACCGACGGCCTGCCTCCGGAAAGCTGCTGGTTATATAGAGTGATTGAACCCAGTTAGAGCCGGGGTGAGGAATTCTCCTCCTTCCCCACCTTTAGCCCTTTCCACACCCAACGCCCTCCATTACATAAAGCATTCTTGACATCCAGCGGATACATAGGCAATTTTATAGCGGCAGCAACAGCAATAAGGGTTCGAACTGAACTTTGCTACTGGTGCTAAGGTTTCCTCATAATAAAGCCCATACTCTTGAGTGAGTGTACCCCTGAGCCACCAACCTGGCTTTGTATCTATCAATGGACCCATCCGCTTTGGTTTTGACTTTGAAAACCCATCGACATCCTTTGCTTCCCTTCAGGAAGAGGAACGAAGGGACTCGCCCTATAGAATGAATAAGGAGAGGAAGCGATAACTATGGTTGTCTATAGGAAGTAGTGTGTCGGCTAGCACTTCGGGAGTCCCAGCTTTTTTGATCGAAAGCCTCATCCCTTATATCTTTAATGCACGGGTCCTTTCGATTGAGTGCAAGATGGTAGCGATCATTTCTACCGCTTCACAGGCTCAGGCAAAGAACGGCGCCAATCCAATAGTAAGGCACCAGGCTCACAAGAGTCGGGGACAGAGCGAGGGAGGTCCTCTTTAAAATATAGGAAATTTAAGCTATGGCTAGAATCTCAACTTCTTTACTAGCTTCTAGTTCTTGTCTTTTAGGAGGAGCGGGAAGCTTTTTAAAGAAATGAAAGGCAATGCAATTGTCCCATCAACATGTCCAGCTTGTGTTCCGGGTTCCTATTCATAATTACTACTACTAGAATACTTATATAATATAAAGGAGAGCTTTGTAAAAGCGAACTAAAGCCCTATCTATCACATCCACCACTTGATGAGCCAAGCCTTACACACTCATAAAACACCTATTAAAAAAAAAGGCTCGGGCTCGGTCAACAAAGACTTGTGTCCTTGATACGACTTTCAAGATCTACTAAAGTCTTCAGTGTCAAGTAGTTAAAGTCTTCAGTGTCAAGTGGTCAATAAACAAAGAGGAGTGGTTCACCCACAAAAAGAAAGAAACCCGGTGGATACCATATCCAAGGGTTTGTATCAAGAGGATAACAACAACCTACAATAATGAAAAAAAAAAAAAGAAGAAGGAATAGAAGGGTGATCACTTGGGTGGGTGATCGTCCCTTTCTTTGAAGTCAGCTAATGAAACCAAATCGTTAATTGACTTTTTAAAGAAAACAAGCCTGTCTATTACATATATATGAAAACCCCTTTCTCACCCTTACTAAACGAACTAAACGAATTTGGACTATGTCATGAAAATGCTCTTGAAAACTTTAGAATTATAAAAGAAATAAACTGATCAAAATCAGAAACTAAGCGGGACTCCGTCAGAGAATTCAAAATAAAGTGTTGGGAGGAACTGTATCAGCTTGACACATCGACAGGTAGTCGTAGTCAGGTGAGCATTATTTAGTTGCTTCTGTTTAGCTAAGGGATTGGTGGAACTTCTTTTTAGAGTGATTATTGGATGGTATGTTTATGACCAGTTTCAGGATTGATTTTGTAATCAACAGAATCAAGCTCAGATAAAAGAGGAGAAGATGAAGAGTGACTGTCAGCAAGTAGCAGAGACATCCACGGATCCAACTGGGTTAGGCCGAGAATTTGTGTCGAAACTTGGGCTCTAAGAAGAAGATATAGGAGATGAAAGGAGCTCTGCGCTAGAACAGTTAAAAGATGTTGCAGGAGAACCTGCAGGTCAAGATAATAAGGAGGTTCAGGAGGTTGCACGACTCTCTTGGTTGGATATATTTCATGCAAATGAAGAAAGAGGCCTCATTCGGGAAATGGGTTTGGACTTTACCACCAAATGGTTGGCAGTGATACGAGATTCAGTCAGTTTCATCGGGTGCTTGTCCCAGATAAGGTATTGAACCATAAAAGGAAGGCTTGGGAAGGTAAGCTTATGGGGAAAGCTTATCTCTATACTTTCAGCAACTGAACGGTTGATGCTTTGGCTGAACGCCTACGTCAGCTATGGAAGATGAATGATGACTTTATCTTAATGGAACTCCTAAAATCTAGTTGTAAGGCTGGTATAACTTACACATACCAGACTACCGAAATAGAAAGCAGATCTGGATGGGGGCCCTTGAGAATAGAGCAGCATTTGCTTTTTTTTCTTTGTAAAATAAAGTGCAATGGAGAAAAAATTTCTCTCTAGAGAGGGTTGTGCTTTCCAGGACCCTGGTTTGGATTCATTCGTCTTCTTGGTCTTCCTTTTGAATAGTGGGAGCAAGATGAAATCTTTGCAATTGTTTCCATTATAACAAAAGAGAAAGGGAGACCAATCAAGCTTGACACCTCCCCCATGAGATAATCACAGATCTGCCGTGGTTTCTTTGCCAAGGTATGTAATGAATTAGATCTGCAGAAGCCCATCTTTCCGGGTGTTATGATTGGTGAAGAAAGCAATGCCTTCTGGAAGCGCTTCGAATATGAGGGCCTACCTACAATCTTTTTGTTGTGGTAAGATAGGCTATGAGCTGTAGGACTGCACTGAGACGCCAGATGAGAGATAGTGGAAAACGAGTTACTCTTTGGGGGCTAGCATGAACAGAGCCTTTGAGAAAGAGAGTCTTGCCCCCCCCTTCCTTATTACTCCATAGGGCAGCGAGGAGCATGCTGTGGAACCAACCTCCACCGTACGTACCTTTCGGTGCGACCACTAAAGAATTGCTTATACACTAAACAGCTGCTTATATACGCTTACTAAAAGACTGACTTTCATTCATTATCATTAGGCCAGCGTGAAACTAAGAAAGAGAGATGTGCCTAAGGCGGCATGTAAGCAAACTGTGCACGCTAAGAGAAGAGGAGAGATGCTCGCAATTACTACCACAAGAAAGCCGCCCCCTATCTTCTAAAGGGGCCCGTCACTTCGTTCGTACCTTCTTGGCTTAGGCTTTCAACTGAACAACATGGCCTTGCCGCCCCGCCGCTAGCAGAAGCTAAGCGCTTGAAAAGCGCGCTAAGAAACGTTGCTTCTGTCGGCCTTTCTGCGCAACAGTCCACCAGTTTCGGAAGAGAGGGTTACCGTACATACAAGAGTCTTCCAGTTCTTACGGAAGCTCTTTCTTACCAGTCAAGTAGTACAACAGCTCTATCTTACAGCCTGGCGCGGCGGGTCGCCTTTTTAATTCAGTAGATAGAAGAGACTATTAAATAGATAAGGAGTAGGTGAGTGAATGAGTCCTCACTGACCTGAGCGATTTCGATCACCTAGCAGGCCTTTTATTTGGTAGGTAACATCGCCAAAGCGTATCATCAGATTTGGAAGGAAGGAACTCGAAGTGAAAGGGCCCCGACTTATTTCCAGAATTAGAGTTCGACCGCAGCTTCCCCCCTTTTTTTTGGGGGGATCAAGTTCCTTGCCAACTGCCAACTATCGACTCCGATCTCTTTTCATTTGTTTTGGGTATTACCAAACCTAGCCTAGCCTTTGTCAATCACACTAAAGCAGAGCACCCAATTATGGAAAAGCCTCCTTAACTTAAGGGTGGGTTCAATTGGATGAATCTGTCAAGTCAAGGAAAACGTACGTAGCAGCAAGGATGGTGCATCGCCTATTTATCGTTCTCGCTCGGGAGCCAAAACGAACACGCCTGCTACCTACTGTACTGGACCTTCGACCAGGCATTCGACCTTTGTCGAATCGGAACCAAGCATTGCGCTCGAACAGTTGAGCGGCCGCCGGCCAGCAACTTCCGTACACAGATATAGATTCATTCTTCGTACCTGGTTCAGCCTCACAAGCCTTCGCGGGTTGGTCAGAAGTCAGTCTTGTTTGGTAAGACGGAATTAGACAAAGAAAAGAGAGTGCTCGACCGGAACAACGGCCAACAAAGACCGTAATTACATAGATAACTGCTCCTCCCCTTCTCCGTCTTTAAGGCTTTAAGGTGAACCGTATGGCGGCTGGAAAGAAAGACGACCTCACCTTCTCGTAAATGGTGTCAGTGAGAGCCATTTTAGTATCCTCCGTTGACCTTCTTTTGTAGATAGAATCTTCAATGAGTGGAAACAAGCACCCAACCTAATAAAGGAAAGGGGCTTGTTGAGTAAGGCCGGCTTTCGAGCCCAAGCCTACGTTTGCTTAGTAAGCTTGAGCGCATCTTTCTCATATCAAGGCTTTCCTTGAGTTTTCCAAAAGGGGCGCGTTAGCTAGGCCGTTTTCTTGCAGGAGTGCTAACGCGCGCCCTTACGTTTTCTTCGCTTGCTCTGCAGTACGAGCCTCATACAGAGCCGCCCTCCTTTAATATGATGAGAAGAAGGGGGGCCACCCTCTTTTCCGCACCAATCCTTATTTCCTACTACACTACATCTTTTTTTGGGTGTATAGCTCAGTTGGTAGAGCATTGGGCTTTTAACCTAATGGTCGCAGGTTCAAGTCCTGCTATACCCAAACCTGCCTTACACTCTACTATGAGTAAGGACTAATTCGTGCCTTCAAAGATGACTCTTTGGCCTTTAGACTCGCTTCGGCGACTTCGCCCTTTAAGTGACAAGGGGGTGAGGCCAGTCGCAGATGGTATGTTAGTCGGGACAGTCGGTGGAGAGGATGGGCCTACAGAAGTAGGGCAAGTGGGTTCGGATGCAGAGTAGGACTGATCAGAGTCCGCACCGGAAGGAGAGATTAAGTGGAATCTATTTAAAGAGGCAAGTCCTATTCCTAAGAACTTGTCTGAGGAGAGTCCTCTGAAGATAATGGCAATGGTCGGTCGGATGATTCCAGTAGGGCAATTTGACGAGTATCACATAAGTCGGTGATGATGATGAGGGACATGGCCGGGCATTGACATGTATCTAAAAATTGAAAAAAAAAAAAAGAAAAAAAAATTTCGTATAGAAATTAAGTTATCGGAATGCGAGACGGTGCGACGCGGCGCAGTTTTTTGTAACATTTTAATTTCTCTTACTTCAACGTTTCCACCCCAATATGATATGATGAATCTACTTCGCCCATCTCCTAGAATTAGATATTCCTTCCTCATCATTTTGACCGTTCTTGGTGTATCTTATTCTTTTTTTTGGCTTATCGACGGAATTATGTATTTGGATATGATCGTTGTCAAACTCAAGTCAATCCTACTTAGCAGGTTTTTTCACTTGCTACTGAGTAGGCTTGGGTGTTGTTGCGGAGTTATTATAGCAGCCATTTTTTCTCTTTTTGATCAAAGCATTCTAGGTCTAGGAAACATGATGATGCCATCAGGGGGTTCGGGCGCCACCTGGAAGGAGGACACCCGTGAGATCGATGTACTTCTCGAGTCTTTTTCGGAAACGGATGAAACGGGCTCGTCCGTAAACCAACCAGTAGCACCGCCTGTGCCGCCCGCTAATCCAGTCGCTTCCCCGGGGGAAGAAGCTGGTCCTGCTAATCAGACCCTACGAGTGGTCTCCTGTCCGTATCAACCGGATGAAGTGATAGGGGGAGATTGTCTTCTCTCCATCGAACGTCGCCTTTTGGCGAAATACTCCTTTCCCTCCCTCGAGGTCATACGAATGGCTCGTTTTGATGCCGAAGATCGATTCGAGGTCAAAGTTGAGATTATCAAACTCATGGCGGGCCTTGACCCAACGGGAGATTGGATGGGACGGGGAGCTCTCGCTATCGATAACCCTCGTACCGCCACGGGGGAAGAGTCGTTAGAAAAACTTTGTTATCTATTGGATGAGCTAAAAGAGGGCGGAGTCGAGTCCCAAACCTTTTCTCATTTAAAAAGCAAAGTTTTGCGAAAATGGAATGATCATGCCGAAAATAGCACATCTTAAAACTTTCTGTTTTGTCGAGCCCTGCTTTTGTCTCAGCGGATGAAACAGCATATTTAGATGCAGCAGATGGGGATTGCTGAAGCGGAGGACTACTTGGCTTTTGTTTTAGCAGCGTATGATTTGGCCTCTACGGATGCAGAGAAATCGGAATCCCGAAAGGAATGAAACGGAGCTAGACATGTATGGAAGGGTGGGTTAAAGACCTATAGGAACGAAACTGGTCCCAGAGACAGATAGGAGAATGACCAGTTCGCTAAGTGTGAAATAAGAGGCTATGAAGCGTAGCATTATTCCAGGTCAGCTTCTCCATTCTTCTTTCTCCCCGGGTGGGCTCGCCTCAATTCAGGTATAGGGTACCTTTCGGACCTAACAACACAAACCATCTTTGTTTGTTTTACGATATGATATGCTTTGGCCGAGATGTCCGAGAGGTGCCAGGGGGCTTTGTCTTTTATTCTCTCTCATAGTCCATTCTTGAAAGAATGAATACGCCCAGATCCCTCAATAGAAGGCCTGTCGGCTTGGTTTCCATTAGCGTGTACTTGATAGAAATCTTTCTTCGAGTGGCTCAGTGACCTTCCCAATTCAATCATCAGTTCTATCTGCTCTAAGCGGTTCTCTTTTTTGAGACCCGATCGATGGAGTTCTATTCTGCCTATTCCTCTGATCCAAGAGTAGAAGACTATGCCGTGGCCTCTCTGAACGCTTTCTCTTTCTAGACTCCTTCAGTTCCTTGACACTGGCATTCTGGCCTAACGTCAAGAGCTGCTCGATCTCGATATGGAACAACTAGAAAGTTCATGCATAAACTCCTCTGCCGGCTCGGTCCGCTGACAAAATTTTTTATGTAACTAGCTCGGGCTTTAGGTTAATGGTAAAATTTTGAAAGAAAATCAATCGGTTCAACTCTAGCTTAGACCGGGCAGGGGGTGGGTCAGCTGAATCAATCCAATCAATTGCTTTCACTCGCGTTGAAGGGTTACTGGGACACTAAACTAATAGAGACATTCGGCATTGATCGGGTCCACGGATTCCCCCGTGCCAAAAATAAGATAAAACGAACTAAGCGTGGAGTTCTTAGCCATCTATATCGCGGGAGAGCGGGGCTTTGCCTCCTTCGAGACACATGGCTCTGTATGCTACTACGCTATCTAGCTTGCTTGAGCTTACTTTAAAAGGGCTTGCCTTATCTGCTTGAGTGCTCCAGTCCAGCGCTGGAGTTCCTTAATGCAGCTGGAGGGCTTACTGGCTATAGTTTAGTTTGAGGGGGCTTTCGTTCGCAACAAGGTAGCCGTAGGGAAAACCTATGGGCTGGTAAAGGTGTCGTGGCTCCGAGGGTAACTTTGTGGCCTCCCTTGCCTGACCCTGTAACAAAGGTCATCAGATATATAAAACTTCCCTCTCTTCTCGAGACCTAGGAATCGGAGCTAAGTGTGTAAGTTCTTCTAATTGAAGTCAGACCTAGTCAGCTTCTAAGTCAGCTTTCAGGCCTGGAGTGACCGCATCGCTTAGTTTAGTCTTCTGGGGATTTACCGGCTTCTAATTCATCTATAAGTGAAGGCTCTGAAAGACCTGCTTCTATATTTCAAGTCTAGTTCTCCCCATCGAGGGAGGCTAGTCAAGTCAAGCAAGAGCGCGGGACTGTATTCTATGCTAATATAAAGTCTTCGGTACAACTCTTCTTTCCTCCGTTCACCCAGTGGAAGAACCAAAGCCGCCTATTTATTTCTTTATTTATTTAAGGGGTCAGATGGGTCAAGCCGCCTATTATTTCTTTATTTGTTACCAGATTTGGTACCAGCAAGGAAATTACCTCGGTCGGAGATCCGATAGCTGCAGAAGAAGGAGGAGCGTCGGGATTCTAGTTGCCCCTCATCCCATGACGAAGTGCGGAGATCATTTCTTTGTCGGACGAAATCGATTCGACCGGTTGCTCGGCTGCTTTTCCTTTCTCCTTATCCTTGGGGTCCGCTGGAGCTTCCTTCGCCTTCGTCTTCGGTTCTGTATTGCAAAGAAAACCAAAAGAGCCGGTTCCGACCTTGAGGTCTATTCTCGTCTTTCCCCTTATGTACTGCCAAGCGGGATACAAGGAAGCGCCTGACTTTGAACATAAATAATATCTATCACTCTTAACCTTCCGACCGATCGATGGTCATGAACCTTTTAATATTATTACGGAAAAAAAAAGAGTTGGCACCTGAGAGAACTCAGTACGGGGATTGGTTGTTCGGTGGTTATGTATGGGATGCCCGGGCATTGATTGAGAAGGACGCTGCTTTCTGAGGCGCATCAGTTCTATTAGCCACTGCTCTCATAACAGACACAGACTCGGCGGCGGAATCCCTTTCGCGAAAGAGTTCGGTTACCAGCGCTTCCCTTATATCTCCGATCGAGCAGCAGATCAATCAATCTTTCGTTTCTTCCCTCTTGTGTGTGAGCTTGACCGGTGCTCTTCACCATATGTCTTGAAGTCAGGGTTACCTGCTTCTGTGGTTTCACCCTTTTGGGTGTAATAGCTTCAAAGTTAGATAGTTTACGAAGTCCCCTCATCAGACAGGTCCGCTTCCTAAGCCTTTTGTAGCGCGTGTCCCAAGGTACGCTCGGTTCCGGTAGAGCCTGGAGCGACCTGAAGATACGGGTCACCTTTCCCAAGGAAGGCACTGTGGGAATTTGGAGCGAATCGAGCTTGGTTTGGTCGCCCTAAGCCGAAGCTTCTTATTTATTGATCTTGCCCAGCGTTAGGGAGGGGTTTTCCCTCTCCTCATCAAAAACGACTTCTAGATAGGTTTTCCCCCTTCCTTTCGCGCAACCTGATCTAAATTTCGTCGTAAATAAGGAGACCTTCGCTAAGCATGTCAACGCCCGTACGGGAGCGGATTGCCGATGGATGGAGGCGGCTGCATCTAAGAGTTTAGTTCCAGGAGACTGAACAACATGGCCTGAAGCAGGATAGACTCATTGAGGGAGTGAGCTCCCGTGCTCCTAATGTAGAGCTAGAACTACTGCTACCGTGGAATCCGCGATCACACATGAGTACCTCGCCTTCCAAAAAAAGCGGCTGCTAATTATAGCACTAATGCTAATGGGGACCATCGATCAAGAAGGACTTCGGAGACTGCAATCGAATTGAGAAAAAAAAATAGAAAGAAAATATAGGGCCAACTCTTCTAGTTGTGCCCCTTATTACGCTACTCAACCAGCTGATAAAAGGTCGAATCCAGCAGGGCTGCAGGCACGAAATGACGATAAAATCCGTTAAAGGAAGCCTAATCAAAGCAGGCAAACAAGAAGATCTGACTGAGTTGATGATGGACCGGATCTCGAAAGGCGAGAGGCTTTCATAAAGATGTATTAGAAAGGGAGGGTCGAGAGAGGCTTATTGCACGATCCACCCAACCCAGCTAAGCTAATAAATGCTGCATAAGAGAGTGGGAGGCCGGCCCCCGCCCATCTGGAGGTGCACACCCATTTAGGAACATATGCAAAGGGGTAAAGAGAGAAGTCAATGGAGAACTACCAAATCCAATGACTTTGATTTCTTTGTACCATTCTGTCATCGATCACTGCTGGGTCGGTTGGTGAGTCACCCAAAAAAAAAGCATCGAGAAAGGTCAAGCATATATGTTTTATGAAATGATCAGCGCTTTCATTTATGCTATGCCCTGCATCGTGTTCCTGTGTGTTTATTGAGCTTTCTTCACTTCAGCGCCATGCGCTTTGCTCCGCTTTATAGAAGAGAGAGACCCTTTGAGAGTGAAAAGCAAGGGCAAGCAATAGAAAGGATAGTCCCTCGCGCGAACTACAACTACTAGAAAATGGTGAGATCATTAGTGAAAGAAGGACCAACGACGATCCTATCCTAAAGGAGAAGGAGGAGTAGGAGGAGTAAGTTTTCTTTGAAGATCTAGGAAGAAATCGGACAATTATGCCATTCGGAAGAAGTATTCTACAGAAGAAAAGCCTGTTACGAGTAAGTGGAGAAGAAAGATCTACAGAGATTCTTATCTCATTCCATTCCAGTGGCTCAACCAGTAACCAATGGCGAAAACTAAAAAATCCATGGTTTCCCGGTAGAACCCTATTTCGCCCAAGTTGTTTCGGAACCGGAAAAAAGAAGCGGTTTTTCGCACAGCTTGCTCATAGTGCAGGTCCCACTTGTATATTGTATTTGGCCGAAGAAGCATCAGACAGGTTGGAGTTCTTACCTTCTTGGGACTCCATGGACCAAGATCTGCTTTTATTATATGGTCAATACCGATCTACTTTAGTAGATCATATGGATGTAGAAAAAGCTTATTATAATTTTGATGAATTGGAAACATCTCTTTTCCATTTCTATTTACCCAGTTCATATCTTTCTTTCGTGTGTTCCCGGGAGGAATTCGATCTCTTCAATCTCGGAATACCACCTAAATAACTGCGGCCAGAGAGTCAAATAGGTCGGGAAGAAAGAGTCTGAGGTCGGGTTGGACGACATACATCTTGGTTGGTCCCACCATCACTAGAGATTGGACATATATATAATCTTTCTTCTCGGCGTAACGAAAGAACTAGATGAGGAGAGGCCTCAGGTTTCAAATCCCTACCCTACGCCTTACGAGGGCGCCCTAGCCAGATTCAATCCTAAGCCCAAGGGTCAATCAAGCCTTTGAAACTAGTTCAAATAGTCGTCACAATCTTCGTTCCTGCTTTCAACGAGACTTTCTTTCTTAGCTGCATCAGCTTGTCAAACTCTCTCTCCTTCACCAGGAAAGGGAGAGCGGACAAAGTACCAGACGATTTGGGAATGATTTTGGGTAAGAAGAGCGTACGATAAGAGTAAGCAGACGATGTCGATAGAAGACGATTTCGAGCATAAAGAGAGAAAAGAAGAAAAAGGAACTCTTTAGCAAGAATCTAGGTTTAGCAAGATAGCTGCCAGAAAGACTGAGCTTAGGTGCATAGCGCTTAAATAAGTGGTTGAAGAGCAGCTTTCCGTCCCGACAATGACTACTTACTTT